TGGTAACAAAAAAAAAAAAAAAAAATCTCCAAACTAATAAAGTTACTACTATATGGATAGGTGTTCAAAAATAGTAGTTTGGCTGGGGATTTAGCTCAGGGGTTCTGGTGCCTGCCTTGCAAGTGCAAAGGCCTGAGTTTGATCCCTGGTACCACCCCCCCAAAACAAAAAAAACAAAAATAGTTGAACTTTTGTTGAGTGTTCAACAGGTATATAAAATTAAATCCTTACAATTTAGGGAAGATGTGATTTTTGGTCCAATACCAGTAAACAGTGCTATCTATAGGTGATTTTTTAAGAAATGCTCTGGCACTAAAGTGAACTAAAGATGGTCCTTGGGTGGATTTGATGGGCAGGTCTTAGGATACTTAAGCCAACCTAGAATAATACAAACTTTCCCAAAATTTAAGCCAGACGAACAAGTTCATTAGAGAAAGATTTCTGAATTCTTTTGGATTTTAGGGTTGCTGGTTTCTTATGTTTTCGTCATAAAAAGGTATAAACCTTATGTACTTTGAATTGTGTATCACTGTATGAGCACTGATAATGAGCACTAAAATTTTAACCTATTGAATGTTGGTGACATATTTTCTTGCTGACTTCTAGGTTAATTAGAAAATCAACAAATATTTAGAACGTTACTGAAAAATCAAAACTATTCTATAAGATTTTGAGTTAGTTTTCATTTGGCAGAGATATTTTTGAGAACTTCTATAATTTAAAAGTATATTTTTTAAAAAATGAGTTGCTCTTAGACTGAGACCTTGTGTATGAAGTTTTAGCCTTGTAAAGATGTTTATGACAGAATTGCAAACTCAGAGAAAGCCTGCAGGTAATGGAAACACTGACAGATTCTTAATTATAGAACTGCTACTGGGCAATGAGATGCCACAGTTCTTCTGCAGTAAAATAGGCTGGTTCCACTTCCTATAAATTTTGAAATATATTGTTGACAGTTAAAAGTAAATTTTCTTCTGAGGTTAAGTAAAAACTCTTTGAAAGGAATGTGACAAGCATCTTCTTTATTTGGGCTTAAACATTGTTTAACTGTGATAGTGGTGCAAGAATAAGAGTCTCCCCAGTTTAGACCCACTACAGTAATGTACTTTTCATTTCACCCCTAACTATAAAAACTGTCCTGCTGTATTTGAGAATTATTTTCCTTTCTTTTTTATCATTCATATTTCTGTGTTATAGGGGATTCACAAGGCGAGGGATTATGTTTGAAACAATCAGCCTACTACTGATAAAATGCTTTTGTTTAACAATCTATTGAACAAATAGTATTTTTCTTTGAGTGGTCAACAGTAGTGGAAAGCTTTGTTAGGAAAAGACACCACAGGGTCGACTGTATTTACATCTAGGTCACTGCTCAAGTAGTTTCACTGACTCAATGAGCTGGCCTTGGAGTTTAGAAAAGTGACAGGTGGATGGCAATGTGGACATAGGCTGCTGCTTCCAGGAGTAGAAAGAGAAGCAGTTAGAGTGATGGCTAAACAGGCAGTCACACTCTGAGGTTTCTGCATTTTCATAGGCTGAGAGAAAAGATGGCATGAAAAGAGCAATTTGGGGATAGAATCATTGCTTCCATTTGTGCTGCTGCTACACCTCACAGGGGTGCTTTGCAGTATCACTGATACTTTGATGTACTTTCCCAGATAATTTCCCCGATTGCATCCTTCACGGGGTAATTCACACAGGACAGATCCAAGCTACTTTAACTGGTGTCCGAGATCAACCTCAGGCTGGCCCCTGCCCTCCACCCAGCCTCATTTCTGGCCACTCTCTCTCCCACATCTCCTTGTTTGCTTTTCTCTATGTGTGGTACTTTGATTTATCGGCAGATCTTCCCATGTCTCAGTGCCTGAGTCTGCTGAGACGCTGTCCTCTGCTTCCCAACCTCTTCCCCGCCGGTTGAGCTCATTCTGGCTCATGCCTCAAAGTCATAGTTTCAGAAAACCTCCCCATTCTGGGGGCCGGGCCAAGTTCTCCAAGGTCTGCTCCAGCACTTTTATGTCTTCTGAACACTCATCTCTTTATTGTAATTATCTGACTGACTTCACCATTTTGTTTTAGAGTTTAAACTCAGTGAGGCCAGATGTCATTTTTCCTGTGTTTTCAACACAGGATTCAGAGCCTTCAAATACTAGTACTCAATAAATATTTGTTCTACTTAATTAACTATATGCTTAGAATAATGCCTGCAAATAGTAAAATTCTTGCTCAGTGATGAATTTAGTTCTTGATAGAAAGTACTTTCATACATATCCGTTTTCTTCAGAGAATTTAAAAATAAACATTCTTGATAATATCAGTCCATGTAGTATATGACTGCTCATCTTTTCATTTATCTTTTTTCAGGAGCAGGAGTTTGATGAAGAATAGAAGAATTTCTGATTGTTTACATGACATACAAGTCCACCCAATTCATAATCTGTCTTCTTCACATTCATCAGGTATTTTTTCTTTTCAACAGATTCTCTTGGTGAGAAAAGGACCAAATTCTGGCTCTATCATGACTTTATTTTTTGTTCTTATACAAATCATCTCATTTCCTAGAATCTTCTGTTTCTTCTGTAAAGTGGGGAGTATGGATTAGATAGAAGGCTTCTTCCACTTGTAAAATTCTATGCTCTGATATATATTTTTATAGGTCTGGGTTTCATTCACAGTACCACAAAAAAGAAAGGAAGAAAGAAAAAGAAAGGGAGAAGGGAAGGAAAAAAGGAGGAGGAAAGAAGGGAGAGAGGGGTAAAAGGGAAATGAAGGAAAGGAAAAATTGTTTAAAGAAAAAGGTACAGGAGTTAATACTTTGAATAATTATTTTTTACTAATATTCATTATAATGTTAATTTACCCATAAAAGGAAGGCCATATTAAATTTGCATGTGTAACTAACTGTAATAATTTAAAAATTACTTGTGCACACAGTGGTGGACATGTATAGTCCCAGCTACTTGGGCGCCTGAGGAGGTGCAGTGTTTGAGCCCAGGCGTTGAAGGCTAGCCTGGACCAAAACCAAAAACAAACAACTCACTACCTGTAACACTGTACTGCTACACAACAATGAAAAAGAAGGAATGACTGATACAACAACCTGCATGCATTTCCAAAACACAATGTTAAGTGAAAGAAGCCATGTACAAAAAGAATATATATTGTATAATTCTATTTATATGATGTTTATGAACAGGCAAAACTAATCTGTTGTGACAGAAGCAGTGGTAGTTTGCATTGGAACAGCAGACTCACTGCAAGGGGGAGCCCTGCTGGGAGGGGCCGTGAAGTGTTACATATGTTGCTCTAAGTGGGTATAGAGACATAAACGTCTGTAAAGAGCAATAAGCTGCACACTAAAGATGCGTGTACTTTATAGTATATAAGTTATACCTTAAGTAAAAAGTTTTTAGTAATGTGTTAATTTTTTGATAATGGTCCTAAATATGAGTAGCCATAAAAGGAATTATATCTCATCTTGACTTTAAGAAATTTGAGTTTCCTTTTTTTGTTAATCATAAAATTACCTTTTAGGAAGGTAATTCTAATACTACTAAGGTAGATCAAAATATGCTGTATCTGTACTTGCAAAATAAAAAGATACATATCTAGTAGCAGCTTACTTATTGGGTACTATTGGAGAGTGAAATGTTTTGCAGAAGTAATTTTCAGGGGAAGTTTGTTACCCTGTAGCTTTGGGTTTGGTAGCTTTTTTTTCCTACCTTTTCCCAAATTCTTTATTCTAGACCAGTGATGGCAAACCTTTTAGAGCTTTCAGTGATACAGACAGCCCGCTGTGGCACATGTGCCATAGGTTCGCCCACATGATTCTAGACTTTTAATGTTCCCCAGTCTGTTAGCTTATAAACTCTATTGTACTTTCCTTTTTGCTTGGTACTTTTAATCACCCGTGGCCTGGACCAGAAAACGAATATTGCAAATTAAGTGAAAATTACTGTACTCACATCTTAGTACTCTGGGATAAAATTATTTATGGGGGATCTGAATGAATTCTCAAGCCTTTCCATTTACTTCTGTTTTAGACAGTGCTTTCTGAAAACCTCTCTCTTGGAGATGTACCATATTAACTGCAGATAATTAATAGACTTTCACCTATCTTGACTGTAGTATACCTTGAGAAGGAACTATTCCAAAGTAGAAGTTCTGAGAGATTCCTATTTTTATAGTATATTGTTGCTTCTCTTTCCAGGTTATGTGTTAAATCAGATTTCTAATTTCATTTTATGTAATTGCTATTATTTCACCTATTTATAGTTTCTTAGGTGTTGCGGAAAATCAGTCTCCACCAAAAAGTAAATAAAAAAGATTAAACTAAAGGATACATAGGATGTTTGGGTATTTGTTACACATACAATGGTTAGTCCAGAGTGCTAAGAGCTGATGCTGTTGAGAAGTGAACTGATAACTACAAGGAACTCTTCACTTTGGCATTTTGAAACTAAAGTAGAGTAGCTTACTTTGAATTTATTGACCAATGATTCTCTATGTTTGAATCTACGGTACCTGGAAACTGGGCTTAAGATGGCTATTTTCTGGTAATTTAGGTTTAATGGAGAAATCAGGCACCATTTACTCAACCTCAGCAGATTCATTTCTTCCTGGAATATGCAAAGAATTGATTGGTTCATCAGTAGATTTTCTGAGACACAGTTTTGATGAAGAAAAAACTATAGCAGATAGCCTGATGAATAATCTTCTAAACATTTATAATGGGCTACTTGTCATCTCCAAAGCTCATGAAGAACAAGATGAAGAAAGTCAAGATAACTGTAAGCAATCCCCCTGCTTTACTAACTCACATAATGATTGTTTTCTGCACATTAAGCTTTGTTTTGAGTGATTATTTGACACATTTGGCAGACATCTATGGACTTGTGGTAAAATATTTTAATGGTGTGTGTATGTGAGTTCTTATTTTATTTGGAGATTATTTCTTCCAAATATATGTATAATTTTCCTCCTTCTTTCAAAGTGTTCTCTTCCGATCGAGCACTCCAGTCATTTACTATCCAGATTGCTTGTGCTTTTGAGCAGCTTGTGGTTTTAATCAAACACTGGCTGAGTGATTTTCTACCTTGTACCAGCATAGCAAAACTGGAAGATGAATTGAGACAAGAAGTTAAAAAACTGGGAAGCTACTTACAGTTATTTTTACAGGTAAATTGATTTATTATTATTGGAAAACTTTTTTGTTCAGTAAATTATTTTCAGTTTGATTTTTATTAGTATCTACGTAGTTTGAAATACATAATTACATTTCTTTTAGAGTTGGTCCATGTATATAACACATCTCAATTCCTTTGTCATCTGTTGCCTCCTCCTCTTTTCCCCATTTCCTCCATCTCTTGATCGCCTTCAAATTTGAAAAAGATCTACTGTATCTCCCTACTTCCTACTATCTATCTTTTCTTTTGCTCTTTATATGTATTTTGGATTTCTCATATAAGAGAAACTGCAATATTTAAGGTTATGTGTTTGTTTATTTCACTTGATATGGTCTCAGGGTTCATCAGTTTTCCTAGAAATGACTCAAGTTTGTCCTTCTTTGTGGCAGAATAGTACTCCATTGTGTATAAATACCTCTCATTATCCATTTGTCGGTTGATGGACATAAAGGTTGCTTCCAAGATTTAGTTATATGAGTTGTGCTGCTATGAACATGGGTATGCATGTATCACTGTAATATGCCTTTAACTCTATTGGGAAGATACCTAGAAAGGGAATAGATGGGTCAAATGTAATTTCTATTTTAGTTTTTGATGAATCACCATACTGATTTCTATAGTGATTGTATTAGATTATATACCTACCAACAATGTAGAAGGGTTTCTTTTTTTCCCTGCAGCTTTGACAGCACTTGGTATTTGATTCTTGGTGATGATAACCATTCTTTCTGGAATCAGATGGAATCTTGATGTGTTTTAATTTGGATTTCTGTAATGGCCAGTGATGAACATTTTTTTCTGTGTTCGTTGGCCATGTGTACTTCCTCCGAGAAGTGTCTTATTTCAGTTGTCCATTTTTTGATTGGGTCTTTTAGTTTTGGGGGTTTAACGTTAAGTTCTTTATATATTATAGATATTAATCCTCTGAGGTGTAGCTGGCAGAAATTCTTTTGCCTTCTCTAGGTTGTCTCTTCATCTTGTTGGTTGTTTCCTTTGCTATGGAGAAGTTTTTTAATTTGATGTGATCCCATTGTAGATTCTTGGTTCTATTTCCTGTGCTATTGGGTTCTTTTTAGAAAGTCCTGGCCTGTGCTGTCAAAAGTTTTACCTGTTTTGTCTTCCAGCAGAGTCTTTCTGATCTATTTTGATTTTTGTTTCGTACATAGTGAGATATGGGCCTAGGTTCAGTCTTCTGCAGGAGGATAGCCAAGTTTCCCAACACCATTTGTGAAAAAGACTCTTTTTCTTCAGTGTATGTTTTTGGCTCCTTTGTCTTTGTCGATGACATCAAAGTAGTTGAATCTGTGGTTGTTTCTGCATCCTCTATATTCTGTTCCATTGATCCACATGTCTGTTTTTGTGCCAGTACCATGCTGCTTTATCACTGTAACTTTGTAATATAACTTCAGAACTGGGATTGTGATGCCTCTTGCTTTGTTGTTGTTTCCCAGAAATGCTTTTGCTATTTGGAGTCTCTTCTAGTTCATTAGTTTCAGTCTGTGAATTTCTTTTTGGGTTAAATGTGTTTTTGTTTTTTTTTAATACAGCATAATGTTGGATTTGTTTCTTAATCCATTCTGCTAATTTGTGTCTTTTGATTGGTGAATTGAGACCATTCACATTGATAGTTATAACTTACCGCTACTGACTTATTATTTATCATTGTATTATTTTACTATGGCTAATTCCCTTTCCCTTCTGCTTAATTGTTCACTCTGCCTGGTGTACTCATTCTCCTAGAACTTTTAGCATTGTTAGCTTCATTGTCTCTTTCAAGTATATCCTTGAGAATTTTCTGAACTGCTGGTTTGGTGGTCATAAATTTCTTTAGGTGCTTCTTATCATGGTGCTAAGTTATCACTTAACTAGTAAGTGATAGAGCTGGTTTTGAACCCAGGTAGTCTTGCTATTGGGAAGAGACCAAGTCTTCCTCTGGCTACTGATTTCAGTTCATACTGAGTTATTTATAAGCCTGCTGACATAGAGGCAAGGAGAGTAATTTTGTTTCTTGCTTACCTTGTATTTGGTAGCATGGGTTTTGGAAGGAAGAAGAAAGATGAAAGTTTACTTTGTCTCACATACAAGCTAGAGATAGGCATAAAAGCTTGTTTCACAAGTCGAGTTTTAGGATTCTTCCAACCCACCATTCTGCTGGACCTAAAGTGTGGCCCTTGATTTCATGGAAGAAGTAATGAAGGAAAAACCCAAGTGTGTCTTCTTTAAGGGGAGTTTCTGGAAATTACTATGTGGCTCTTCTACGTACGTGTTTAGACAGAACTTCATCATCTGACCACGTGCTAAATTAGTTTGTCTTTTGGCAAACTGCTTCAGTTTGAGTCTCCCATTTTTTCACTTGGAAAATAAAATAGCACTACCTACCTGGCAGGATTGCTGTGATTACCAAATGAAGTGTTGTTATACGAAGGTACCTGTTTGGGCTGGGGATTTAGCTCAGTGGTTCCACTGCCTGCCTCGCAAGAGCAGGGTCCTAAGTATGATCCCCGGTACCAAAAAAAAAAAAAAAA